TATATATATATATATATATACATACATATCATCCCAGGAAGAATACATAGACCGAGCTGTTATTTCAGAATGTTTGTACGATGAAAATTTGTTTCCATCTGTCAAGTTGATAACTTGAGTCGATATTGGTAAGTCCGAGGCGTATCTGTTGGTATACATGCTTTACCAGTTTTACTCTCTGACAAAGCTTAAGGGCAATATGATGCCGTATATATCAGTGAAGGTTAGACATCCAGGTGACAGGGTATGCCAAAAAGCAATTACTCAAGCAACTGGATATATCCAAAATCATATCTAGTTGCAAGAGTAACTGTTTTTTTGTGTGCATATCCCGTATAGCATTTTATCCAATCGATTAGCAAGTACTATCTAATGCACATGGCTAGACAAACTGTAGTTACTGATTTATTTTTGAAAGCTTATGCCTATAACCTTGAATTCTTATCTTACACACAATACGGCAACGCATATTTCTCATGGACCTGCTGTTATAGTGAGTGTAGTCCATAGGTTAGCGACCCTGCCACTGGACCAAGATGTTGGGAGTTCGAATCCAGGCTGTTGTCGAATGCACGCTACTGAAAAGGGTCACAGTCCTCAGGACAGAACGTTAAGCTGTGGTCCACTACTTATTGTGCTTGTCGAAAAAAAAAACTAGGGAATTTTTTTTCCGTACAATGAACCTGTAAATACTGTACATAGAGTCTGTCTTCGCTGTCACAACCAGTGGGAGATTATCTCTCCAGTGAGCTAAAATACAGAGTATGGTGTGGTGAATAGTAGACTCTTCATGTTTTCTTCACACTTTCTTCTTTTCCTTTGGAACTGATTTTGGCATTCTACGACATAAGTATTATTGCTTTCCATTTTGGGGGCAATATTTATGGCATGTATTCGCTCATTTCGCAGCTGCTTTGTACGATTTACAGTATGGAGGTCGGCACTGCTCGGCAATGTCTGCGAATCCACTTTTCCACTTAATGGAAAGGGTGCACCTGTAACCTTCCTTATCCCTATATTATAGCTAACTACTAGTACTCACCACATTTCAGAGACGTGGTTGAAATGTCGATGAAGAGCTTGCCTCTCAGCTTCGGAGGCCCCGAGCACTCGAGTGTCAGATCTTCAGAAGTGAGTTTCATGGAGTTTCCCATCGTCTGAGTCAGCACCACGAGTGGGGCCAGCCGACAGTCGCACAGCCAAGGGTTGTGACTGAAAGGGCTGTACATGTGGGATTAAATGTGGTTAGTACAGTTCAGTAGCCGACAGTCGCACAGCCAAGGGTTGTGACTGAAAGGGCTGTACGTGTGGGATCAAATGTGGTTAGTACGGTACAGTAGCCGACAATCGCACAGCCAAGGGTTGTGACTGAAAGGGCTGTACGTGTAGGATTAACTTGAATGCGGTTAGTACAGTTCAGTAGCCGACAGTCGCACAGCCAAGGGTTGTGACTGAAAGGGCTGTACATGTGGGATCAAATGGAGTTAGTATAATACTGTTAAGCCATGTTGATTTGATTACATGGATGACATCCTCTGGGAACACCACAACTGATGCGAGCGTGCGAATAAAAAGTTTGGCAAAGTGAGGTTGCCTTCATTATGAAATCTACGTTGTCACGAAGCTCTAAACAAATAACTATAACATACAGACTATCGTATGGTGAATAATAGACTCTTCATTTTCATTTCTCCTCATTTTCTTTTTTTCTTTGGAATTGACTTTCCATTTTTTTTGCAATTTACGGCATATATTTGCTCATTTTGCACGAAACTATTGTGACAGTCGTAGAATGCAAAAATCAATTCCAAAGCAAAAGAAGAAAATGTGAAGAAATGAAAATGAAGAGTCTATCATTCGCCATACCATACTCTGTGTGTTTAGTCATTTGTTCAACCTTCACGACCATGTAGACTTCATAATGGAAGCACTGTTTTTTGCCGTACATTCTTTATTCGCACCCTCGCCTCAGTTTTGGGGGTTCCCAGAGGATGTCATCCATATAATCAAATCAACATGGCCTTACTACTTACTACTCATGTGTTGAAGGTTATACTGACCTTCTGAGCAAAGTTCGAGACTTTTTTGACGTGAGTGGGCAATTATAGATCTCAGACATGATAACCAACCAAAGGTCGGAGTAAAGGGCCTACTGTTGGCAGAGTATCATAGATAAAACTTCACAGCAGGTTAGATGCTGACGATGTTGAACAAGTCGTTTCAACTGATCATAGTCAGATGAATGAATACATGGGGTCGTGTGACATAGCGGTAGCACGTTCGGCTCAGACCCAAGAGGTTTCGGGTTCGCATCCTGCCCGTGGTCACCGACCTTATGCCCTTGTGAAAGGCACTTTACACGACTTTCCTCACTTCACTCAGGTGTAAATGAGTACCTAGCTTCGCCCCTCGGATAGGACGTTACATGGAGGTCCCGTGTTTGGGGAGAGCCACACTCCACGTACGTTAAAGAACCCACCACACTTATCGAAAAGAGCAGGGGACCTTCCCGGTGTGGTTCAAACTTTACAGTCTGGTCTAAGGCTTGACATCTTTGAAGAGGTGATAGTCACCTGTTATGTCAATACTTCCACAAATGTGATAAATCTTCATAAATAAATGAATGGTTTATTTTTGTAAAACATTGCAGCCGTCTGGCTGAAATACGTTTCACTTACATGAATGGAAATACACACAACTCACATTCACAGATAACATGAAATATTACATAAATGATAACTAATACGTAATAACTCGGAGACCTTTTGCTCTAGCTCATTCTGGAGCCACTACTGTAGACTAGTCCGCCCACCGTAAGGGCTCGACAGTCTTTTTATCTACTTATACCCACTTAGATGTTTTATTTTAGATGTGTTTGTGTAATGTTGTCTGTCTGTGCTATGGGCCAATGAGCCTGAAATAAACAATAAATAAATAAATAAATAAAATAACTCAATGACTAAAGATTGGAGTGTGGTTGAGTTGATCACAACATGTCTGATTTGTCCTTAATTCAGCAGTGTTAACAGATTTACCACATTTGTGGAAGGGTTGACATAACAGGTGACTATCACCTGTTCAAGATGTCAAACCTGAGACCAAACTGTAAGATTTGAACCACTCACACCGGGAAGAACCCTTGCTCTTTTCAATAAGTGTGATGGGACGTTTATGTGCTCAAGGTGTGGCTCTCCTAAAACACGGGACATCCGGCTTGGCGTAGTATCCCTAACCTAAGTTAGAAAAGTGCGTTAAGTGCGTAAAGTCGTGTAAAGTGCCTTTCCCAAGGGCACAAGATCGGTTACACGACAGGATTTGAACCCGGGACCTTTTGGTTCTGAGCCAACCACGCTACCGTTACGCCACACGACCCCACTCTAGTTCCTGACGTTTCGGGGCAGCTCTGTCTGCTGAGGCAGCTTTTAAAAATCGCCACTGCTTCAGCAAATTTTGACCTTTACGTGATAAAAGTTGTCTGGGCTGCCTATAATCAGTTTACACTGTCTGGAAATCTAAAAGGACAGACACTAATAATACACCAGCCGATCAGAGATTATGCCCGACATGTACAAGGAGGGTATATTGAAGACGAATTTCACTTTCTGATGTCATGTCCAACATATGAAGAAATCAGACAAAAGTTTATGAAATCCATCGCTTCCAAAACTAATGTCACATTGCCCCATTCAAAAACAGAAACCTTCAATATGCCCCTGTCAAGCTCTACTCAGATATCAGTGTACTTTTGAAAATTGATATCCGAATCGCTACAAAAACGATACCGTATTGTAAATAATTGACATATCTAATGAATTATAGAATATAATACTCTCCTTAGGAAATACATGCAATATGCTGCTTTGGTAGAATTGAAATCTAGTATGGTTAATATGGATTAACTCTGTTAGAATTGTATTTACAGTGCATGTATCTAGTACCCTTTTTGTTTATTCTCTGCCATACAATATCGTACCAGTTACAGTTTTTTAGCAATAAAGTTGATTTGATTTATAAGACCACAACAAGTAATTTTCATGGATGACGTCCTCTGGCGATCCGAAATCTAATGCGAGAGCGCGAAAAAAACAAGAAGGGCCGAAAAAAGCAAAATGCCTAGATTTGAAATATACTAAGAGACGACAAATGTTAGGATAAAAATTGAATGAGAGAGCACAGAGTAACAACCAACAACTCTTTTATTCGTCATGAAAACCGCAATAAATCAGTGGAACAGCAGTTGTCTCTCTGTCCTGTTTCTTGTGCTCGTGTTTTGCGTTACGGGTTTTACGTTGTTAAAATCTTACGATTTGAGGTCCTCTCGTGACTCTTTGGTCATAGTTACGAAAAAGGAATGTTCTTTCTGGGAACAGGCCAAAATCAATGCGCGCGCGGACGTCATCCATAAAAAAATGACTAGGTGTGGCCTAATTGCAGTACAGTCGTGATGGCATGGTACGGAGTGCGTGCTGAGTCTTACTTGTGTGTGGGTGTCGCGCCAGACGCAGATGTTGTCCCAAACGTCAAGGCGCCGATCTTAGCGATGATTTTGCGCGGCAACGTCTGCAGTTTGTTGTTTCGCAGCCACCTGTGGGAAAAACATGGGCAGACGTGAGGTGGATCCTGTACACAGTAGAATATTTTTTTTATTACAAAGTTTATTTCAAATACATGTCCCAGGGCTAATTGCAGGTAATAACAACATGTATGACACAAGAAAATACAACTAGAAAGGTAACATTTGCAAAAATTAAGCAAAGGAAAAATGTTTGCCTTCGCATATGGTCTGCTCTGTTAATTCTTACTCAAACGCATTCATATATATGGTCAGACAGGAGTCTAAATCCCTTCTGCTATAAAATTGCAACATGATGTAACCCAACACTAGTCACCATGGTGACAGAAGTCTGGTTCAGGTCATTGACCTTATTCGTTTGGAGAAGAAGAAGAAACAGAGCAAAAACCATATGTTTTCCTTCGGTGAACATAATGATATAAGAGACTACGTCTGATTATACTACATTCTACAACATACGTGCTACTAGTTTTGCTGGGTTTGACTTCTCCATCTTTCACAACAGTTGTAGCGGGTACAGCGTATGGCAGCATATACGTACATATATAGTTGACATTGCTAACATTTCTATATCAATACTAGCAGTTCTAAGAGGTGACAGTTCTAACAGTTCTGAGAAGCTAATCTATTTTTAAAAGAATATTATAAAGGTTTTAAAGACAATCTAACAGTACTACTCTAGCCCAAATGGTCCACTAAACACTGCCTTATATATGAACGCCCTTTGCAACGTTAAATCGACTTAAAAGTGCAGAATATAACATTAGGAAGTAGAGAAGTAAAATAAGTACAGATGTTGGAGGGAGTGCAGGTCATCCAAGGCGTCTTCACTGAAGCTGGTGATGTTGTTGTTTGAGAGGTACCTGGACAAAACAGAGCAGGTGAGAACATAATATTATTCATTTGTTTATTTGGATTCGCCATGGTTACAAAATACATGTATTACAGTAAAACAGATGTAAGTTGCCCTCACCGACAATACAATAATACAATACAATATCAATACAAATATATACAATCATTTGTAACACAAATTAATGGCTGCAGAATGGTTTAAGAAATACATTATACAGTTACGCAGAACATTATGTACATTAAAACGTGAATGAGCAATAATTAAAAACCATACTGATATTCGAACTAATGAGGTCTTAGGACTGTACAGGAGGCACACCCGCAAAATAGACCATGTGCAGGGAAAGATGCAACTTTAATGTACTAATATAATTGCATAAAAATAATAGCAGGAGTTTGATGTAGATGTGAAATGCAATGGACCCCCGGTGAGAGAACACTTACAGAAAGTTGATAGTTTTGAGTTTGGACAGGTTGTTGTGAACGCTGGAGATGCGGTTGTAGTCCAGATCCCTGTGTGAGAGAGAAAAGTGAGAATGTACGATGGCACGTTACCCTGGAAGCCAAACTCGTTTCGGGCCGCCAGCCGTTCCCTTCGGCAGCCAAGAGCCCTTCGCCCGCCTGTCTAAATTACCGCCACGGGGGAGTCTAGCCCGGGGAGAATTTGTCTGGCCCTGCAGGGCCAAATACTGCACCGCAGCGGTAATTTAGGTCGGCGGGCGAAGTGCTTCTGTCTGCCGAAGGAAAAGGTTAGAGGCCCGTAAACTTGTTTTTTTTTGCAGAATAAGAGGGTTATTATGATCACAATTACTACACAGTCAGGAATAAAAGTCAAAGAGGAAAAAGGTTTCCCAATCTTATCACACAGTCGTGGTCCAATATGTATAACATAGCATCATAATAACGTACCACAGAAATAAATACAACCGCTGTGGAAAACATTAACCTTTTTGGCTTTGCATTACCAGCTCACAAAGTCATGACGCGAGTCCAGTCTAGCACTCTCCAGGGTTTGATGCATAAAACACAACAGTTATATTTTTCTGTACCAGCTACAAGATTGGAGTACAAAAAAAAACAACTTACAGGCGTCTCATAGATGTCAGATACGTCAGACTGTTGATAGGGATGTACTGGAAACGGTTACGATCTAAAGCACTGCAAGAAAAAAAAAACATACACAGGTTATTTTCACATGGAAACGATGCTTAAATGATACATAGAAAATGATGGCGAATATTCTAAATGTCACTGCATGATTACATAAAATTTCCTTTTTAAACGTTTTTAATTAATAATTGTACAACAATTAAATTACTTACACGTTATAAATAGAAGCAATAAATCGGAATAATTTCCTTTTTCCAAACGATTTTTTAAAAATCAATAATTATAGAACAATACAAGTACTTACTCGTCACAAATAGGAGCAGCAATTCGCAATTATTTTCTTTTCCAAACCGTTTTTTTATCAATGATTATACAATAATAAAAATACTTAAATGTCGTAAAAGAAACAATAATTAGTAATAATGTCCTTTTCCAAACGATTTTTACTAACTAAACAATAATAAAAATACTTACATGTCGTAAACAGAAGCAAGGCCCTGGAACGCCATATCCGGTAGAGTTCTCAAGTTGTTGTTTGACAGGTCACTATACGGGAAAGAAAACATGTAACAGTGCAGTCAAACAAGTCAACAGTATAGCGCATTGTGTGAAGCAGAATATATATTATTATTTGCAAATTCACATAAAATTAAAAAAAAACATTGCAGTAATAATACAATGTAAAAAGGCTGAATTACGCAGTTTCAGGGAATACACAATTGTACAAAATATGCATAGTTCACTCTGATAATGTCTATTTCATTGTCTATTGATGTTCCCTACGTATCCGCCTGCCATTTTTATTTTTATTTTATAAAGTACGGTGGTGGACAACTCTAGTAAATTGTTTATTTTAGTCTCACCACTGACAAAGACAAATACAACCAATAGCAAATAACAAGAGAGCAAGTTGGTGTTCCAAAATACAAAAAATACAGATGAATATGTGAAATTAAATGATTTTTGGAGGCAGTTAAAAAATTTAGTCAGATATAAACTGTTTTGTGTTTACAATATCGGTTTGAGTAAAGGGAACAAATCAAAGGCTGTTCTAGGGACTTAATAACTGCGTGAAAACCTTGATTTAAACTACAGATCCCGATCAAAGTAGTGTGATGAGGGCGTAGGTATACCGGTGTCCTTGACAATATCGGAGTGCCGAGTTATCAACCAAGGATTGAGGTGTTGAAAAACTAATATTTACTATTATAATACAATTTAATATTTACAAAACTAATATATACTACCGCATAGTGGAACTCGCTACCACCAAGTACAGTAGGGGCCGGCATTAACATTAAATAGCTTTAAACAATGTTTAGAGATAGGTAGCTGTAGCAAGTCATTCGGTGTAAATGTAGCCAGCTGCCACCGCGCAGTGTGCCTGCGAAGCTGCTTTTTACGCCGAAAGGCGGTTCTACCGGCTACACAGATACAGATACAGAGCACAAAAGCCAAAACACCCGACTGACGATTTTACCGCTAGCTAGCAATTAAATATCAGACGGTTTGCCGCCTCAACGTGCGTGCAAAAAGCGTCACCCCACTCATTTTGTCCCCTAACACATGTAAGATAATACTTTGGAGTAACAAAAAATGACGTAGGACAATTATAGATGTCGCTAGTATCTGAAGTGTTAGATCTAGATGTAAGGCAAACCAAGTGCTGAATAACAAAGAAATACTGTTCACATCTTTTGGTGTGGGTGTTTCGGTTGTAACTTCAAAGAGTGCAGCCTCTGGCACCAATCCAGATATAAGTAAGGTATCGCGAAAATACCTGATATACTGTGGTGAGATTCAAAAGCCCCCTGACGTCAGTAGTTAACAGCATGGTGTACCCCCTTCTTTGATCGTACAAACCAGTTGTGAAACATGTGAAGACTTTATATTTTCAAAGAACTACTAGTATATTGAGTATAAGGCCACCATGTTGATGTGACTATATAGATGATATTCTCTGGGAACCTTAAAACCCGCGAACGTGGGAATAAAAAAAAACATTTGGCAACAAAGTTGCCATCATAATGAAATCTACGTGGTCATGAAGGTTGAACAAATGACTAAACACACAGAGTATGGTATTGCAAATAATAGACTCTTCATTTTTATGTCTTCACCTTTTCTTCTTTTCCTTTGAAATTGATTTCGAAAATTAGTGTCGTTTTCCATTTTTTTTGTGGAATTTGTACGGAGTACATCATCTCATTTTGCAGCTGCTTTGCACGATTTATTTTTGGTCGACAACTTCTTCTTTTCTAGGCAACGGACGAAAATTCATTCGCTGGCGGATGGCATCTACACAAGGCCATGGCATGTAATTTTACGGATGACATCAGCGCGCATTAATTTTCGCCAGATTAAAACAAACAAACAAACAAGATGTTTTGTTGCCCTCTGATAGTCGTCAACATGCCGAAAATGGGCAAAGATGTCTGTTGCCATGCCAAAACGCGGATGGAAGATAGATATGAAGAGAGAAGACAAGACTCTGGTTTATTGTTTTGTCTTTTACTTTGATGCAGTAATGTATATCATTCCTTTTGTGTGTGATATTCCCACTGAATCAACTTTTGTACAATATTTATAGTGACAAATGGATGTTGTAACAGTTGGCAGTAAACTTAGCACAGTAAAGGTATCATTTCTTGTTTAACAAGGTTTATGATGTCAAAATTTGAAAATGTAGGAATCTTGTTTTTTGGCCCACCTTTTTTTTATCACCCTATTGCATTTAGATTTGGAGTCTGCGGAGGATGTCATCCATAGAATTTACATTTTGTGTACTAATCCAATCAACACGGCCTACTTTACTTACAGTGACACCAGTGCCTGCTGAGACCGGAAGGCTCCACGTGAGATGTACTCGATCTGGTTACCACCCAGCTTCCTGGAATGAAAGACATGTTAACAAACGATATACCTGCTAACCACGAATGAAACCAAATACCTGCCATTGCCATGTAAAAAATTACCAATACTAGTCAACCCTCACCTTTATAGGCATCCAGTGCAGTTTTTAGGGCTTGGAAACCCGATTTTTCACAGCGAAGATTCTAGCCATTTATCTACATAGTGAGTTGAAACCACACTTTCCCAATGTATATTGGCTGTCATGGAAAATTCCCAAAATTCTGACGGAAAATGGTTACTGAAAGGGCCCTAGGTTGACTTCTAGGGTACCACCCATAAAATAAAGGACTCATCTTGGGGCTTGTTTCTGCAGTTTTAAATTCCCAAAGTATGAAATGCTGAAATGTGCTAATGTGAAGCAGTATTCTTCCTGGATTCTTTACATAAAATACAGCATTATATCATTTTTGCATACACGTTTAACTACTATCAAAAACTTATCTTATTAACATTTGACATATGATAATAATAATGTAATAATAATACAATAAACGTCATTGTGTTATATCAATAATCAACCACATTGAACAATATTACTTACAAAAAGTTCGGCTAAATTTTCAGTTTCTCGGTTATGAATATAGTAAAATACACATTAAGCATCAGTTGTTTCATGTGCCTCTTTGGAAATCAGCTTATGAAGCTCTAGTGGCTACCCATGTGTCTCTAAGATGAAATAAGTCAGTAAATTACACGTAAAAAGATCCCTTGTTACCGCTGAGAACCGTAATTGGAACGTGGTTATCTGGTAGATTCCTGGTGGTACAAACCAAATTGGCAATTACATGATAGAGAGAGTTAGAGGCCCACTTGCTGAGAGTCAAATAGATCTAGGCGTTTTTCCAGGATTTGTATCCTAGGACACAAATGATACGTCCTTGACAGTGTGAATGAATCCTTGAAACTGCCGCGAGTACATCTTTAATGTTTAAAGTGAAAGTGGAACCGTCTTTTGCACTGAATAGCAAAGTTTTTTCTATCACAACCATTTATTTTTCAAGCCGACGTTTCGATGACCTGTCATCTTCATCAGGGCAATTCTGACTGGTTTACTGTGCACTGACACTAGATGTTACATGATGCATAGTGCACTAAAGGTGTTACATAGTTCATAGTGCACTTAAGCATGTAATATCTAGTGTCAGTGCACAGTAAACCAGTCAGAATTGCCCTGATGAAGATGACAGAAGGTCATCGAAACGTCGGCTTGAAAAATAAATGGTTGTGATAGAAAGAACTTTGCTATTCAGTCGATTATCAACCTGATGAAATTATTTACGGACGTCTTTTGCACTATTTTAAAGACTGCAGTGGTCAAAAAACTCTTTTAATGTTCTACGGTATTGCAGGATGTCACAATATTGTTCTGCAATTTGGACACACTTTCTACAAAGTATTAGACACTTTTAAGCCCTGACTAAAACCCATACAAAATTGCATGTTGGCAAACAATTTACATGCAATTTGAAAATAGTCAGTAGTAAGCACAAAAGCTCCTAAACAATATCATAATGACAATTGAACTCCTACTCTGATTTTCAGTCTGCAAAAGTGCAAATTGTTTTGTTACTGCAACATTGGAAATTTCTCTGCAAAATGCAGACTGCAGATGAGTATTTTTTAACACTAGTGAGTGGACAACCCTGGGTAAAAATGACGAAAAATAAATAAAAATAAAAATTAACTTTGCATGTGTATGGATACAGAATTGAATGAAAGGGATTGCCACAATAATACTCACAGATCCTGTAGATGCCGGAGTTGGCGAAATGTCTTGGCTGTGATGTTTTGTATGTTGTTGTGGGCGAGCTCACTGGAAAACAACATGTTAACTTCAGTTGTTGAATTGTGGCCATAGACTATCTGGGACCTACTTGTATACCTACGGAGTGATGTACATTTTGTAGATGAATTTGTACCAAACATACACAGGGAAATTGTTACTCAAGCAACTGGATAGGCTTTGAAAACTGTCATACACAGTTTCAGGCATGTTGCAGCCTCTCGTCAGTGACTGAGACCTTCATCGACAAAAATTCTAGTCATCAAAACATACATTTTCCCAAACGTCACGATTAGGAAACGTCAATGATTCCACGGTGCTATAAACTTTGTATTTATTTATTTATTTATTGGTTTATTTGTATCAACATATCAACAACATATCTCGCAGCCTTGACATATACAGGGCTGAATTCTGATGTTTGTTATAGCATAAATGTATGTCTCCAGTTATGTAACTTTTAATGGTTGGATATATGATACGATTCCGTACGTAAGACATTGAGCCTGCTGTGCAAGCTCCATGAATTCCTTTCGGCTTATACGTGTGGCAATTAGATTAAAAGGTACTCAGTGGTTGTTATGCAATCTGCCATCTGTTCTGCGAACATACAGTGCGAGTTTTACCGAAGTGAAATGTAGGTGTATATAGTCCATGGGCCAAGTGATCTACTGATACCATCTGAGCTAGCCAGCTTCTCAATGTGAAAAGTAGGGTTCTCGTGGAATACATTTTGTTATGTAGTCCATAAGCCAGAACCTAATAAATTTCACATATTGGTACCACCTGAGGTGGCAAATTCTCATCAGGATTTTTGAAAAATATGGTGTCTGTGGAATATATTTTGACATGATAGCCGTTGCAGAGTCGCAGTTTTGACCTTGCTATCTGAGCTTTGGCCCCATATGGACCACGTTCTTTTCAATGCAATGGAAGTTGGGGGAAAATAAACAAATATACATATGAATGTTTTACGATGTAACTTCATGGACTGATAAAACAGGAACCAAGGATTGCAAAAATGTTAGATTTGTCTCAATATGTTATATATGAGAAGTTATGAGCCTTTAAAATTCGATTTTTTTTGCAATTGGTAACATATGCAATGTCTACTTATGACATACATGTATTTGAGCCTGTTTCATGCATTCATCTGGTTTATTGTATCTTTTTAGGCCACACTAATTTAGTTTCTTGTTTAACGGATTCGCCAGCTTCATTTCTGATTTGTAAAAGAAATAAAATCCAGAATCAACTGTAAAATGCTCATATTTTGCCCTGAACAGTTGAAAGTAGTCCTTTTCTTCCTAGTTGTTACAGTTATTCCACCTTTTAATGCAGTGGTATCATTAAAAGTTCAAAATTCATTGTTTAAATTTTTAACCAGCCTGATGTGTTGACTTCATGGCTCCTATCGCACCATTTTGGGCCATATTAGCCCTTGTCCTGCTGGCATTCCTGGCACAATATTTTTCAATAATTTCATGTCTTAATTAGATCATAGCCCCCCATTTTTTTTGCCCTGCAGTGGCATAGTTACTTCCGCATTCGTTGCGTTTCGCTGCGGTGTGAAGCGTAGCACGAGATATACCCCCAAATCGTACCTATACAGGGTGTTATATAGATGGTACTGTATGTGCCGCGCGACATATGTTGCGCACAGCAGGACTTTTTGTAATTTTCTCGCCCGCCCACTCCATTATTTTTCTAGAAAAATCCGTTAACCAAGAAATTAAATTGATTTGGCCTTAGTTGGCGTGCGTCAAGATTGCTTACGTCATGAAACTACTTTATCTGCGTATGTAACCATAGGTACTAACCATGGTTAAGTGCCTACGTGTACAGTAAGTCAATTGTATTAATGTATTAGATAACTTACATAATCTCCAAACTCCTCTCGAGGCCGGAAAAACTCCCATCGTGAAGCTCAGCTATGGAGTTATTGTTCAGGTGCCTTGAAGAGAAAATAAAAATAAATCGTGATGAATCAAAGAGATCTGTACATACAGCTTTGGAATAAATTGTCCTCTTGTCCTCTAAGGCCACACTGTCTTAGTTTTATGGATGACATCCACGCGCGCATTGATTTTCACCTGTTCTAAAAAAAAATCACGTCCTCCGAGGCTCTGGCCTGGCTCTAGTCCTGGGTAGTCTATGGTAGTTATCACTCCCAGACTCAAGAATTCAGTACATACGTACGGTGCCGATTCATAAATTCCGCAAAAGGCCAGCATGTGCCGGCTTGTCGTATACCTCGCATTGTACTACCGCAAATTCAGGATACCAGCTTTGTATTCCTGTGGTTTAGTAGCATTTTTATTTTTGGCCGGATTTTTTTTATTCACCCGCGCGCACTAGTTTGGGGGTATTCAGAGGATGTCATCCATAAAAAGAAGTCGGTGTGGCCTAACTACCAAAGTAGGTGCTCATCTGAAGTCTTTAGCTGCATACTAAATGTCGAAGTAGTTCCCAATGATATTAAATCGCCGGTTTTAAGCAATCCATATGCATTAAAATTTAAATTCTGCCTTTAAGCGAAATGACTTGCGTGTGCACTACTTCTGGGAATTTTTTTTGATAGTATAGTATAATGTTGTAAGTGTTTTTCACTGTGAATGCATATTTGCAATTGCACTTACTTTTGCATGAATATGCGTAATTTTTTTTACGAAAACCTTAGTTTTTATATTCCTCATGTTACATTTATATATCTTTCAGGTTAATATGTTTTGGGCAGTCAAAGCTGGTTTTGATTACTCTCCAAGCAGAGGTTTGGGTTTTGGCTTATTTTTGGCGTGTTTTTAGGCTTCTTTTTTCGGGGTTTCTTTTTTGCATTGGAATTTGGGTTGGGTGTTCCAGTGCAAACTAGAAACCCGATAAAAGAGCCTAAAAATATGCCAAAATAAGCTAAAACTCTGCTTGGAGAGTGGGTTTTGGTAGGAAAATGTAGCTGTGAATATGTGTGAATAAACAGTATGTTAGTTAATGCCATCTCCCACTCCCTTCCTAAATGGAGTCGTGACTTCCAATATGAGTAATCCTTTCTAAGGCCACATCAAGTAATCTTTATTGATGGCGTCCTCTGGAGACCCTAGATCTAATGGGAGATCGCGAAAAAGAACAGGAAGGGCCGAAGAAAAAAAAGATGTCTAGATTTGAAATATACTAAACGACGGCAAATGTTAGGATACGAA